TGCAAATATAACAGACGACTCACAGTAGAGCTAAAAGTAGAGTCCAGTAGATGTCGGTCCATAGAGCAAAGTGGTAGGAGTCAGTGGAAGACAGGGAGTGTCAGTCATTAGATGTCAGTCACAGTGGTTAGCAGTTGGTAGATTGCTGTAGAAGACAGTAGAGCTTACTAAACATCAGTTGAGTTCAGTAGATGTCAGTAGATATCAGTAGTGATAGTAAACCCTAGTAGATTTCAGTGGAAGGGAGTGAATGTTGGTAGTTGTTAGATATTATTAAAAATTAATGGAAGCAGATGTCAGTGGAAGTTGGCAGAATTTGGTAGATGTCAGTAGAAATCAGTAGAAATGAGTAGATGTCAGTATAATTTGGTAGATGTCAGTAGAAATCAGTAGAAATGAGTAGATGTCAGTATAATTTGGTAGATGTCAGTAGAAATCAGTAGAAACGAGTAGAAGACAGTGATGCCTTCTTGTCTTTAGGTTCTCGTTCTCCAAAGGTCCGAGTCCAGAAGTCTTCATGTTAGCCCGCCCTCCGGCTGACAGCAGAGAGAGACTTCCTGTCTACGTGAGTCCAACATTTCTCTCTTGGTTAATGATGTGTGGTGTCGATTGCTCTGATTGGCTCTTGGTCCTCGTCCAATCAGATGGGAGAAGTAGGCCCCGTCTGGCTGTACTCGACGTCTCCTCTGGACTGTGTGATTGCTGATCCAAAGAAAGAGTCCAAAATGTACGGACTGAAGAGCTTCATCGAGTACCAGATAACACCCAATGTGAGCTTAGTAGAACTTTTTTTTAAACTTGCTTTTGTTGATTTTTATTTTTAGGTTTTAGCTTCTGTGAAGCACTTTGTGATTTTTATCTCGAAAGGTGCTATATAAATAAAACTTTACTTACTTTACTTACTCTGTAGTACTTAGTAGTACTTGCAGTATCACTGGGTATCAATCTCTGACTCCTCCCTCTTCCTCCAGACAACCAACAGCCCTGTCAATCATCGCTACAAGCACTTTGATTGGCTGTACGAGCGTCTGCTGGAGAAGTTTGGGTCCATACTGCCCATCCCCTCACTGCCTGACAAACAGGTGACAGGTGAGCCATCGCCATAGCTACCCTATATGACCCAGCAAACACCTTTGACCTTACCAGTCTCACCCGTGCTTGTAGGCAGGTTTGATGATGACTTCATTAGGATGAGGATGGAGGGTCTGCAGGCCTGGATGACTCGAATGTGTCGGCACCCCATCGTCTCTCAGAGTGAAGTCTTTCAGCTCTTCCTCACCCACAGAGATGAGAAGGTAGGTGAAGCTCCACCTCCTGCTTTACATCTTTCAGGTAACCTGAGAACCTGCTGTCTAAGCCTCTGGGACGTCCTTTTTGTTTATTCACAAACAAATGAAAGACTGCAAACACAAACCAGAAGGCTTCAGGTACAGAACAGACCCCACCCACAGGTTATAAATGTTTGTATGGTCTTTTATGGAGATCATGTTTGAGCCAGTCAGGTGTGATGATATCTGATGCTGGTTGCTGATTGGCTAAGGCTGTCTGTTGTTGTTTCAGGAGTGGAAGGCGGGGAAGAGGAAGGCAGAGAAAGACGAGACGGTGGGTCCAATGATGTTCAGTTTGGTTGAACCTGAAGCTGCAGAGCTCGATGTCGTCCAGGTGTAAGTCACTCAGTCTGGGTCTATACCCTGGGTTTGGTCTGTCAGGCTACCTCTGATTGGTTCGCTCATTAGGGTCGTCTAACTCGTGTCTGTCAAACGTCACATGACCAGTCATCAGGCGTCAATCCCTTTTTTAGCTGTAGCTCACTGGGAGTGCCACAGGGCGGTGTACTGGGCCCATTACTGTTCCTTATCATAAATGTACTTTCTTCCATCAAACAGCAGCTCAGTTTTTACCTGTGGCTTTTTACCTTTGTGTGACCTCTGAGTGTGTGTGCAGTGAACAGAGGTGTGAACACTACAGCCGCTTTACAAAGTCCATGGATGACGGCGTCAGAGAGCTGCTGAACGTCGGGCACGCGCACTGGAAACGCTGCACCGGACGTCAGTGCATACATTTAAAGTTATTCCGTGTACATGTACACAGAATACTTACAGCTGTGGTTGGGTGGTAATGTCTTCATCTGTTTTTAACCAGCACTTCCTAAAGAGTATGAGCGCATCGGCCAAGCCTTCAGAAACCTGTCAACTGTATTCATCACCAGCAAATATCCAGGTGAGCGAGGGAGGAGTGTGGGGGTGGAGGAGGGAGGATAGGAGGGAAGGAGGGAGGAGGATAGAATAGGAGGGAGGGAAGGAGGGAGGAGGATAGAATAGGAGGGAGGATGGAAGGATAGAAGGATGGAAGGAGG